TTTTCTAATTTTAAAACTGAGAACATTATCATTTTAAAAAATTTTAAAATTTTTTGTTTTTCAGTTTTGCACATCAATGTTTCATCATTATGCTCCTTTATGAACATAAAATTTACAGTTTTGAACAAAAAATAATTCAGTTTTTTCATAGTTTTGGTCTTTAGAAAATTCTACTTTTTTATTTATTCTTTTTTTCTTTTTCAATATTTTTTTTAATATTTTAAGTAATTTTTTAATGTTTAGACACACCTAACATAAATATACTTAAAAAGTATAATATTTGTGGAAAAAAATCTTTAAAAAATTCACTAAATATCAAAAATACAAAAAAAAAAAATGAAAATTCATTACATTTTTCATATTGTTGTATATTTATTAATTTTTAAAATATTATTTCATAAATATTTTACTATTTAGATACATCTAAATAAGGTGCATCTAAAAAAATATAAAAAATTACTTAAAATTTTAAAAATATTCACTAAAAACAAAAAAAAAACATGAAAAATAAAAAACTCAATTTTTAAAAAACTGAAACCAAATACATTTTTTTTTGTTTTTTCAATTTTAAAATTTTGAAAATTAAAATAAATATCAAATCATCATGTTCCTTTATAAATAATCATAAATGATGAACAATCATTATTTGAAAGACAATTCCAACTATTAAAAGCTTAATGGGACTTAAAGGTCCAAAAAATCTTAATTAGAATTTAATGGAGCATAAGTTCATAAATTAAGACATATGTGTAAATGCCTCCAAAAAATAGTATATTTGGGATGATTTTTTAAATTATTATAAAAAAAAAGTGTAAAAAGTAAATAAAAAATATAATTTTTGACTTGTTTTTTTATATAGTTTATTAACGTATAATTTTTGGCTAGGGTTTGTTTAGAAAGAACTTTTTTAGCCTAACTCTTTGACTTTTTGCCTAATTTAGGCTAAATTAGCAACGTTTGAATAGAATTCTTTTAACATTTTTGTTTTTTTTTTTTTTTAGAAAAAAATGAAATGATTATGGTTTAAATATGACATTTCATTTTATTGACTTATTGTTTTTTTTTTTTTTTAGAAAAAAATGAAATGATTATGGTTTAAATATGACATTTCATTTTATTGACTTATTTAATCTATTTTGTCTTTTCGTATTTTTTTAATCCCAATTAAAAGCCAATCCATTTGCCAAAGGAGAGTTAAAATTTAAAGTTACCAAATGAGTATAATTTTAAAGTCGCCAAATTTTAAATTTAGTTAAAATTTTGATAAAACTTAGATGTAATCTATTCATCAAATTTTTAATAATTATTTTTACTTAAATTTGATAAAATTATTAACAGATGAAGGATTGAAAATTAATTAATTTATTTTTTCATTGAACTTGTTAAATAAGATTTTTAGATGTGTTAGGTATTTTTAAAAATATTTGATGAAAATTTTGATTTACACTCTTGGAGTAAGTTTTTGAAGTGAGCTATATATCAAGTCGTGCTTTTAATTTAAATTGTTGAATAAATTTGATGAAACAAAATATATATAAAGAATTGGAGATGTTGCAAGAATAAAATAAAATAATTATCTTATTATATTCTCACATTTAATTTATTAAAAAATTATTATAAATAAAATAATCATTATAGTCAAATTTTGTCGACTGACAACGAATTCCACATGGCATTAAAACTTTCCCGTTGAATTTTAATTTGCCTCATAAAGTATTAAATTTTCCCACAATGATGTTTTTCTGGTCAACAACCAATTAAACCACATTGGCATAATTTGAATAATATTTTAATTATCAAATTGAAGGAAAAAAAATTAAAAGTCTAAAACGGGATTTAATCAATACTTTAGATAATGTAAATGTAATTTAACAAGCTCTTGGAACTCGATTCCAAAAAAAAAAAAAAAAACAAAAATTTACCAGTAAGTCTCAAATATTTAAAATTTATCTAGTCCAAAAATAAAATATTTGTATTAATTAATACAACGTATTTTTAATTGTTACCTAAAAATCCTTTTTTTTTTTTAACAAAAATTAAAGACTGTTATATTTCACAACCGTCGGACTTCAATTAGATGGTCACTAAAAATTCGCCGGACAGTTCAACATTACCTAAAAGTTGTCGGAGTATCATCGAAAATTTGCTGGAGCATCACCAAAGTATTCCGAACGTTACTGGAAGTCGCCGAAATGTCGAGAACATTCATTGAACGTCAAGAACATCGTCGAAGACTCACAAAATGTCCAAAATATTATCAAAAAAAGAAAGAATAAATATAGAAATTAGAGTGAAAAAAATATAGTAAAATGTACTAACTATTAATAAACTGAAAGGGGAAAAAAAATATAACAACAAAAGACAATAATAATAGGAAAAGAGCAAATAATCTCCAATATTAATTAAACTGAAAAATAAGTTTTGAAACTATAAAATATTACAGTTTCAAAGCATAATTCTATTAAGCATTTATCTTTATTAATCAAACTTAATTCTAAAACTCGTTATGAAAATGTAAAATTTTACAATTTTAAACCGTGATTTATTTTAGCACCAAAAAAATTAAAACTATAAAATTTTACAATTTCACCGCTTATAACTAAAACTCAAAAATAATTTGTTCAGAATTTGAAAATTTTCTCCATTAAAACAAGAAAAAAGAACTGTGTAATCTAAGAAAAGAAACAAATATAGAGAGGATTATACTCTGACAACTATTTATGGTTTAGATTTAACCAGCTATGATGTAAATCTACTCACATCTAATGTAAATCTAAGTAGATCTATACATCTTATTTGCTAGAAACTTATCTCCTTCGCCATCAGTGAGGATAAAGCAAGAAGTCAGATGTCAGTGGTTACTGGTGAATCCCAATCGATGGTAATCACTGGTCGTTGGTGACTATATATCAAAAGGAGAAAGAAAAGATAGACATGGTCGCCGTTTACCGAAAATCAAGAAGAGAAAGAGACAGAAAAACGAAGACACCGAGAAAGAGAAAAGAAAAACATGCACAAGGTTTTTGGATATAAACAAAAGGTTATGGGACTAAATAGAACACACCTTTTCAAAAAGGAATTGAAGGTCATATGCCTTAAAAAAAAGGATCGAAAAAATGAGAAAAAAAAAAAATTCACAACACGAAGATTAACAGCTGCAACATCAATCACAAGTCCATGAAATAAGCATAAGAACAATTCTGACCATCTAATATCCATCTCTGGTTTATTTTTATTCCACTATTTTCTACCAATAATAGCATAGAAATGTCAATTGGTACTTAGTTCCATGGTGTTCACAAAAATGGCAGCTATGGAAGCAACACACAATTTAGTCTAGATAACAATTTGGGAGATGAATAGAGTAGGGGGCAAAGCCCAATCCTTGCAATTTACAGGTCTCTTTATCTACCGCCTAAGATGGTAAAAGACCAGGCAAATATGCAGGAGGCTAATCCAATGGTATATTTGGGAAAGAAGAAAAAAAATGGAAACAAATAATTGAGGGTGAGAAAGCTTCCACAAAGGTACAGCAGTGATAGTTATAGAAAAACACAATTTGGGTGCAAAGCCACCATTACTAGCCCCTAAAGCTGTCAGTCCATCCACTAACTAAGCAAGAATCTGAAGATGTCGCCAATTGTTCTAATGCATTCTACATGCTTGCTGCCAGCCTCTACAACAATAAGTCGTCTAACCCCTATGAAGAAATAATGAAAAATGTAATGAATACTTGATTGAGATATATGAAATATTTCCTTTGGGATGATCTTAAAAGCCAAGTTATTAGCTAAAAAAACTCATTTTGATAAACAAAGCCGACTTTAGCCACTAATTGGCTCATTTCTTGCCCAAAAGCCCAATGAACAAGTTAGCCCAGCCAATTTTGATGTTTTCCTATTTTGGCCTTATCCCATCTTCCTTATTCCATCATTGGAATTCAATATCTTGGTCAAATTGGTCATTTTGTATTAAAAAAAAAGCCAAAATGCTAGCAAAGGTTACCTAATATACTTATGTTAAAAAATTATCAAAAAAGCCAAAAAGCTAGCAGTGTGCCAATCAACTAGTTTTTTTAGCATTGCCTTTTCTGTAGGTTTATTTTAATTAATAAGCTAGTTTTTTAGCTAACTACCAAAGAAAGTGGCATAACTCGGAGTATGTTGTTAAATCTAGAAAGACCTGCACAAGAAAACCATGTAATAGATATTTGATATTACACTTATCATTTGGAGTTATCCATGGCTACAGCTACACTACAAGTAAAGGTAGCATTTGGTTTAGTTTTAGAATAATGATTTGAGAATAGAGTTGTATTTTGAGTTTATGAGTTGTTGAATCATGATTTAAAAAGAAAAAATTTGTTTGGTTATTAGTTTTGAAAAAAATTTTGAATTGATTTTTGAATTTTTGAAATGAGTTTTGAAATAAGAAAAGTTGTTTGATTATAAGTTTTGAAAAGAATTTTCAAAACTTAATTCAAAAACTTAGAACTCATAAAGAAACACACAACTTAAAACTCTATTGAAAATTCTATTCAAAACTCATAATCAAACTCTTTTTAAAATTTAATTCAAAAAAATAATTATTGTATTTTTTATTTAAAATATTAAAAAATATATATTATTTTTTATTAAAAACAATATTCAGCTAGTGTTTTAAAATTACTTTTGATTGTATATTTGATTGGAAATTTTATTTTAATTGTTTTGTTTTAAAATATTTTTTTATTTTTTAAAAATTACTATGATAAATTAATTTTTATTTAAATCTTTTTATTTGATTGAAAATTTTATTTTAATTGTTTTGTTTTAAAATATTTTTTTATGTTTTAAAAATTATTATGACAAATTAATTTTTATTTAAATTTTTTTTTGTTAATTTTAAATAAATGACCAAATAATTTGATCACATTATTAAAGTCATTATCAAAGCTCTAAATTTAAAACTATGAATCATTGCTTAAAAATTAATTCCTTTCAAACGAAGGCCACGGCCAAAATAAAAAGGCTTTCCGGGTCAGTTTCGGTGGGATCTGAAATGGTGAGTGTAGAACCCGAGTTACAAACGAGTCAGGTCTGACAATTATTTTTGTCATCAACTTTAAAAATAGATCCAAAACCAAAACCTAGTTTGAGAGCCAGACGTTGAAGAAGGACCTCACGATTCTGTGTTGCGTCTTGCCGTAGGTGGAGCTCGATTCACACCTTTCACCACGTATGCTTTGATTTCTCAGATCATTCATCTTTAGTTCAGTATGAAGATTATGTTTTTGATCTTAATATAGGGTTCACATGTCTAGCAACTATCGATTCATGATTGTTTTTGTTCTGTTTTGAGATTTGTTTTCTTTTTCTTTTCTTTTTTTTTGTTTTGAAATCGAGTGTTTCGGTTAGTTTTTTTTCGTTTGTGCTGTTTGTTTATACGGCTGTGATCGATTAGCTGTTGTTATCTTCTGGTTCTAGGGTTTGCAGGTAATGAAGTTTGATTTTCAGTTCATTCATATATGCATATTCATTGTTAGTTATATTTAGTTCAGTATAAAGATTATGTTTTGAATCTTAATTTAGGGTTTAGATTTCAGTTCAATATGCAATCTCTAGTGCTTTTGTACTGTTTTGACCTTCTATTTATTATTCGTGGGGTTGTTTTTGAAATTAATAGTTTTTGTTAGTTTTGTTATGGGAGTGATCGATTAATTGTTGTTACCTTCTGGTTGAAGGGTTTGCAGTCAGTGAAGTTTGGGGAATTTTTTGGATTTGAGGTTTGGGTTTTCGATGGCGGCTCTTAAGGAGCTTCTTCCTCCGGCAAAATCATCGGGGGCTACTCATTATGATCACTCCAACGATCCGTGGTTCAAGCAGAGGTACAGTGCTGCAGAGGCTGATCAATCTGTGACAGTCAAAGTCAATCTAGTGCCTCTGTATCGAAAGCGGGATGGCTTTCGACCCTCCAAGCCTGAGGATTTTGGTGATGGTGGGGCATTCCCTGAGATTCACTACGCGCAGTACCCTCTTGGTATGGGTAGGAAGACTGGTGCAAAGCCTGGACAGAAGACATTGCCTGTTACGGTTGATGAGCATGGTAATGTGACATTTGATGCGATTGTGAAACAAAATGAAAATGCTTCGAAGATTGTATATTCCCAGCACACGGACCTTGTGCCCAAGTTTTTGAAAAATGAGAAAGAGGAGGATGAAGAGGAGAAAGAGATTGACGAGACAACCCAACAGACGAAAGCAGAGCTTGAGAAGATTGTCAATAGGAGATTGAGCGCTGCTCAACCAAAAAACGTGCCAACACAATCTTCTGATTCGAAATTCATCAAATACAAGCCATCGCAACAGTCTGCAGCGTTTAATTCAGGTGCAAAGGAGAGAATTATCAGGATGGTTGAGATGCCTGTGGACCCATTAGAGCCTCCAAAGTTCAAACACAAGAGGGTTCCTAAGGCCTCTGGTTCTCCACCCGTGCCAGTGATGCACTCTCCGCCTCGTCCTGTGACTGTAAAGGACCAACAGGATTGGAAAATTCCGCCATGTATTTCGAACTGGAAGAACCCAAAAGGGTATACAATCCCACTTGACAAGCGCTTAGCTGCAGATGGTAGGGGGCTTCAAGAGGTTCAGATTAATGATAATTTTGCAAAGTTGTCGGAAGCGTTGTATGTAGCAGAACAGAAGGCTAGAGAAGCTGTTGCAATGAGGTCAAAGGTTCAAAAAGAGATGATGATGAAGGAGAAGGAAAGGAAAGAGCAAGAATTGCGTGCCTTAGCTCAAAGGGCGCGATCTGAGAGGACTGGTGCAGGACCCCCGGCTGCTATTCCAATTCCTTCTGACAAGAGTATGATGGAAGATGCTGATATGAGGGGGGATTATGAGCGTGTTAAAGAGAATCACCAAAAGTCAACAATTACGGCTGCACAACTCCCAATTCAAAGGGAAAAAATTCGTGAGGAGCGGCGGAGAGAGAGGGAGAGGGAGAGAAGGTTGGAGGCAAAGGATGCAGCAGTTGGAAAGAAGAGTAAGATTACTAGAGATAGAGACCGTGATATCAGTGAGAAGGTTGCTCTTGGGATGGCCTCTGCTGGTGCCGGAAGAGGGGGTGAGGTTATGTATGATCAGAGATTGTTCAACCAAGAGAAGGGGATGGATTCAGGGTTTGCTACTGACGATCAGTACAACGTCTACGATAAGGGTCTGTTTACTGCTCAGCCCACTCTCTCAACTCTGTACAGGCCGAAGAAAGATGCAGATGCAGATATGTATGGAGGTGCAGATGAGCAGCTGGAGAAGATTATGAAGACTGACCGCTTCAAACCTGATAAGGCATTCGTGGGTACCAATGAAAAGGGTGGTCCAAGAGACAGGCCAGTTGAATTTGAGAAAGAAGCAGAAGAAGCTGATCCGTTTGGTTTGGACCAGTTCTTGACAGAGGTGAAGAAGGGTAAGAAGGCCATGGACAAAGTTGGCAGTGGAGGGACTATGAAAGCAAGTGCCGGGTCATCGATGAGAGATGGGCATGAAGGATCAGGCCGGACTCGTATTGGTTTCGAAAGGGGGCGTTAAAACAACTCTTCATCGGCTTCAGATTCCCTGCTTTATTTACATCTTTAATGTTGCTTCATTTGTGTTGCCTGAATTTATATAGGTTGGGCGGAGCTTAAGCATATGAAGTCGTATGTTTTGGGAAATGCTTGTACTTGTGTTTGGTAAGTGAGATTCTCTTTACATTTTACTGGTTACTGCAATAAACTATTAACTTTCTATAGTGCTGTTCTATAGTTTTTCTTGCAGTTGGCTACAGTCAATTATTTTTGTGTTTCTGCTATCCCGATTTGCGTGAGATCAAATTTACCTGCCATGTTGCTACTTCCATCCCCAACAAAATGGGAAAAAGAAAAACAAAGAAAAGACACGGCCCAAACTGAATATAAAAAGTGAACAATTCGGATTACTAAAATTGATCCCAAAATAGATCTAAACCTAAACTGTTCTCTCAAGTTGGATGGCCAACTTGAGAGAATTCAATGTGCCATTTTGGTTGTTACACATTCAACTGACTCAATTTTCACCATTCATTTTAGATTTTATGTCAATTTGGTTCAACTTATAATGTTGTTGGGATTTTTGACAAAAAAAAATTTCTAAAATTATCACTGACTAATGTGAGACTAATTCACTAAATTGATCAAATTTATATAATTAGAAAATTATTATTAAAATTTTATATAATTTGGTAATATTGGGCTTGATCAGCTTATTGAGTAGAAACGCTTAGTTTGCATTTGGTTTAGTTTTGAAAGTACTTGATTTAGTTTTGAAATCAGTGTTGGGTTTAGGATTTTTAAAAATAGATTTGAAAATTGAAAACTTATTTGGTTATAACTTTTCAAATTAATTGAGTTTTATATTTTGAAAATAATTTTTAAAAATTTTAAAAATTCAATACAAAGATCGTTATGCTGCGAATAGATAACTTTCTGCTTCGTCATGGGTAGAAATACAAACGCTTTGAAAATTGTGAATAGATAACTTTCTGCTTCGTCATGGGTAGGAATACAAACGCTTTGAAAATTGTCTATTCGCAGCATAGTGATGTTGTGCCCAAGTACTTGAAGATTGAGGAGTTGGAGAAGGGGATTTATGATACAACCCACAGGATGAAATCTGAGCTCGAGATGATTGTGAATCAAAGATTTGGGCATGACACAATCTTCTCATTCTCATTCAAAATTCGTGGAGTACAATCCATCGGGATTGAATGAGGGGATTGTTAAGATGGTTGTAATGGTGGTGGAGCCATTAGAGTTACCAAAATTGAGGGTTCCCAAGGCCTCTGGCTCTCCAACCGTGTTGGTTTTGCATTCTCTGCCTCGGCCTGTGACTGTCAAGGACCAACAGGATTGGAAGATTCCACCATGTGTTTTAAACTGGAAGAATCCAAAAGGGTTTACAATCCCACTCGACAAGTGCTGCCAGGCGAATAGTAGGGGAATTCAGGATGTTCAGATCAATGATAATTTTGCCAAGGTTTCAGAAGCATTGTACGTGGCAGAACAAAAGGCTAGAGAGGCTGTTGCTATGAAGTCGAAGGTTGAAAAAGAGTGATGAAGGAGAAAGAAGGGAAAGTGGATGGATTGCGTGGTTTAGCGCAGAGGGCACGATTTCAGATGGCAATGGAGCCGGAGAAAAGGGAAGGGCAGTTGAAGAGGGAGAAAATTCACATGGAGCGGCGGAGAGAGAGAGGGAGAGAGGGAGAAGTTTGGGAGAGTAGAGAAAGATTACTAGAGAGATAAAGGCATGTTGAGATTGGGAAAGTGAAGAAGAAGCTGATCCATTTGGTTTAGCTAGTTCTTGACTGAGGTGAAGGGTCAAGCATGAAGCTGTATGTTTGGGAAATATCCTCGTACTTTGTTTGGTAAGTGAAGATTTTACAAGTTCATTTAAAAAAAATCCGGGCCTTCCTTAAATCTCGGTGAAAAAAGGTTTCATGGTTTTTTCTTTATTTATTTTTTTCTTTTTTTTTTCCCACAAATTCTGAGAAAAGCTGTCAAAAATATTTCCAGCATTTAGTACTGTTCTATAGTTTCTTTTCTTGTAGTTTGCTAGTACTGTCACTTATATTTCATTTTTTTTTATGTTACTTTTGTGTGACATCAAATTTATCTTTGCTTCTTCCACCACCACTCCCCCTACAAAACATGAAAAACAAAACAAAGAATTCTTGAGTTTTTGCTTATAATTATAGCCAGGTACATGAAAATGGTGGCAAATTCAGGAACATTACCAGTACATAAAATATTCTAAGCATGCTCCCATTTTGATGGAGTGTGGAAAATATTTCAGGGAATCAATATATAGATGATTGTATTTAAGTGTCCACAGATATGCCAGTTTTCCAGTTGTTACAGACACTAAAACAAAAATAATAATAATAATAATAAATAAATAAAAAAACAAGATCATATCCATAAAACTGAGGAACTTTTGAGTTCATGAACTTGAAATTTTCTGTGTATCAAAAAAGAGCTCCGAAACTCCACCAGGGACAGAAAAAAAAAACAAACCAACAAAATTCAAAAACAAAAGTGTGTTTTCAACTAGGAAGTACAATGGTGAAAGGGAAGGCCAATACTTTAACAGTCTGACCAGACAGTTAAAATTGCCCTGCTTGCATTGTCCCCTCAAAATACCGAAGTCAACTTCTAGGCTGAACTTCCAAACCACAAGCTTCACAGTAAGCTAATGTTTTGCACGAAAGCAGATTTGCATGATAAAATCAAAGGCAACATTTAATTTGCCTTATTCAGCGAATACTTCCCAGAATCAACTTCCTCTCTGCGGAAAAGTTCAAATTCCAGGCGGACAAACTTCTATGCAAATACTTCGGAATCAATTTGCTGAATATTTGGAAAGACTTGTCCCACAGTGGTCATGTAATTTGGAGATTTTGCCTGCAGAGTGTTACAGAAATACAAGTAAGACGAAAAATTCAAGTAAGGGTTGATCAAGAGAAGATCATAGGCTTTTATTAATATACCATAACAATGCTACTAACACAGAAACTGAACACAGAATGAATCACAAACAATCACATAACTATAGGGCTGTTAGGTGCAGCTTAATTGAACACCTGACTACACCTGTTTGTGTCAAGAACACCACCAACATGACTGAGAGAGAGAGAGAGAGAGAGAGAGAGAGATGACTCCTATCATCACCAGCAGTACAATTGCTTCCTCATTCAACTCTGCCACCAGCACCAAGACAATACCTCCACCACCAATTCCTTAAAATTATTAACATTCATCCCCCAATAATAATAATAATAATAATAATTTCACATTTTGTTTTGGTAGCTAAACTCAGAGATGCAATCTAAACAAATTCAGTTGAAAGACATGTCATAGGGACAAATCTGTTTAGCCAGTTCAAGCACAGCTTGAATATTGTTATCATATATATCATTTGTTCACATTGAATTTGTTTTCAGAAATTTTAGCTTGTAAATATCCATAAGAGAGGATTTTCCATCACATCTCTAATACTCAAAAAACTGGCTGCTATAGCATTTCAAATCTTTTATAAAAGCTAGAAGATGTTTTTCATGTGTATATAAAAATAAAAATAAAAAACGAATAAAAATTGAAAAGAAATTACAAAAGGAGCATACCACCCAGATAATTACAATATGCAATTATCACCTTTATACAGTCACAACACAAAATGAAGTAATTTTCTAATCCATAACAACTTGAAATTCATTCCCCCTGCATAACACTTGTATTCCTATTCAATTAAAATAGCCGAACAAAAATTATTGGAATCTTCTGAAATGTTTACCGATAAATTCAGTATAGGCTGCCTATCAATTCCCAGAACTGTCTAATGATGTATTATTTTCCCGTTCCATATGTTCTGAGGTTTCCTTATAAATTGACTACCCCAGGGGACTGAAAATAAGTACTACAAAAAGTAAAGTTGAGGAGGTTCATCAAACATTTCAATTTAGAATTCAGAAGAATTTTCTGGTTTGGTCCATTGCAACATTTTCAAAAAATAAAAAATAAAAATTGAAGGAGGAAAGTTTGATGAGTATAGTAGTATAACTAGAAGAAAACAGATTTCAGATAAGATCTACATAAAAGAACCATGAAAATTCCACACAATCCTGAAAGGACCATAACAATTCCAAACCAGAGCATATCTCTCAAAAGAAAGCCACGTAAGAATAAGCATATAGAAATAGGAAATAGTTGAAAACAGAGTCAATGTATGCAGGTAAAGGTGAAAAAGGAGGCTATAGTTTATAAGACCCATTGAGTATGAAATAACCGTACACATGGATTACGCTCAAGGTAGATGGTGGTGAGCTTGTCTCTTGAACCAGCAACTGCCTCAGCAATATCTTCGAGTGATGTTATTTGGTTGTCATTAAGCCATAAATCTTCTAATCTGCATTACAAGTATGCGGGGTACTGAGATCATTACAGTATAAATTGGATGACAAGATCAATCCATATGTATGAGAAGGGAAGATAATTCATACCGGGGAAGGTTTTTAATGTCATCAATTGCTGTTAGCTTATTTGATGACACATCCAAGACCCGGAGATTTATCAAGGTTGATAGGCCTTCCATTTTAGCAATACCATTGTGGCTCATGTAAAGTTCTTCTAGAGCAATGCATTCCTGGAAAACGGGGGAACAAGATCCCAAAAAAAAAAAAAAAAAAGGACAAAAATCTTATCTGCACTTCTAGCTAAAAGCACTTTTATTTTCTTAATGAATCTCGTCTCACTCTAAACATCATTATATTTAACAATGAAATACCTCCAATCCTGCCATAGAAGTTAAACGATTGCTTTGCAAGCTAATCTTCTTAATGCACTTGAGCCCACATAGGTTAATAGCTCGAATTCGATTCCGACCTAACCATAGCTCTTGTAAATTTGTGAAATTTTGTAAATTCTCCATTACCTGGATAAACAAAGTACATCAAGATTGAGCACATATTCCAGTAAAAAAAAAAAAAAAAAAGAAAACCGTAACATATGCCCACAAAAAAGAGAAAACCGTAACATATGCCCACATTCTTCCATTTTATTTTTGCCTCCAACTCTCCTTTTGCATAGATACACACATAACATGTGGTGAACGTTTTATTATTCGTAGACTGACATCATGCAATCCACAACCACCTAAGAAGCATGAACGCTTCATAAGAAGTGGCGTGTACGTGTCAGACTCATCAAAACGTGTCCTAATTTTTAAAGATTGTTTAAGATCCGGACACTCCTTGGGCACTTGGAAGACACACATATCCATCATTTAAACACACGCATCCATCGATTAGGCACACATAAAACTAATTATAAATTTGAACAAAATAACTTAGGAGATAATGATAAAAGAAAAACAATGAAATTTATAGAAATTAGTGTTATATTGCATTTTTTATTATTATCTATCAATACTATATTCATATATATCATATATAATAAATATATAAAATTATATATTTTGTACATGTCCACGTGTTGCGTCCTACATTTTTCGAAAATTGTTGTGTGTCCGTGTCTTGTTCGTGTCCATGCTTCTTAGACAACCACATATGAAGTAGAGATATGGATACAAGATAAGGGTATGACACGATTCAGACACTTTGATATGACAAATCTAAAAAAACTAGAATATGGGAATGTCAAGGATAAAGTAGTATATATGACATGTATGTATGTATTAAATATACTTTTAAATTAAAAGGCGAGTTTGTCATAATACATTCACAGCAAACTATTTGCTTTTATTTATCAATTAAATATTTTCAAGTTCAAACTTTTAATATATTCACACATAATAAAGATTAAGGTCATATTTTGCAGACACGATCTTGGACCAAACTTTACACACTTTAATCTTTTTGTTTCTAATTCTTTCATATTTCTCCTACCATTATTATTATTATTATTATTATTATTATTTTTTGATAAATATATTTCTCCTACCATTATACTCTAATACTACACAAAAACATACCACATCTCCATCTCAAGCAAGGTCATATTGCGGCCTAAATTATACGATACATCTTCAAAATAAGGGGAATTAATTATAGATAGTTAGGAAGTATCCAATGCGTAACCTCAGGTATTCAAGGAGTTGGTATTTTGATATGGACATGGTATTGACACAACTCCCATCTAAAAGTACTTGTGCTTCATGGACACCTAGAGATGTAGTAAACAGTTAGTATTTGAAACAATTGTTAGTTTGTAGCAGACGCATGCTTCAAGAGATCAGAGTTCTAACCCGTAATCTGTTTGAACCCAGTTCAAGAATTCGTAGTTCATGAAAGTGATCAATCTCCTCCATCTTAGTAACTTCATTTTTAGACACATAGAGTTCCTTGAGTGTGTTGGAGACCTTAGACAATCCATTCAATGATGAGATCTCATTGAAAGATATGTCAAATACCAAAAGCCTTCTGAATATGCTAACATCAGGTATTTTTGTTAGTTTATTATCCCTGAACACAAGCTCCTGCAAAAACAAACATCTTGTAAATTACTTCAACAATATAACTGAAATGAAAGCACAAAAACAGAAAGAAAGAAAGAAAAAATAGTATAGGACCACATTTGCCAAATTGCAATAGTACATATAAATATGGACATGGGTCTATTCATCATAGAATTTGGAAAAGAGATGCATATTGTCTCAGTCCATAGAATGTTCACTCCAATCAATAAACAACTCATCGTGCTTGTGTTCAAATAACGCAAGGAATCGTTCTTACACAAACACTGTTTGGTGACTGAGAAAATTAAGGAAATGTTAACAAAGTTAATAGTAATACCACAGTCATGGTAACAAAGAATAAAATCTTAGCCATATCTTATTTTGTTACTTCAAGCAAGTTGAAACACCAAATTGGTCAGTGGCATCTGAATATCTCTAGTCTAGTGACTAAAATGCTCTTCCATTTTTTCAAATGAGAATAAATGCTTTGGTTTCCATGAATTCCACACGCAATGTGGCAAACTTATCCAATTTGAGTTCCAAGTCTCTTTTTATGTTTCTTTAGGGCTCCGTTTGGTATGGTAGGCGAGAATTTTTTTATATATAAGATTATGGTTTCTCATGAGAAAATAAAAGAAATGACAGTGGTTTCTCACCATTTTGTTTAGAATTATGAACAATGAATAAAGGAGGACAAATGTCGGCTTATTTTATTTGCTATGTTTTAGAAAGGTAATGTAGGTATTATAAAATTTCTACAAAGACTACATGAGTTTTAAGAGATTTCTCTTTCTCACAATTTTTCTTATTTTCTTACCATTTATCCATACAAGTGATGAGAAATCTATTTATCTCCATTTCTTTTCTTTTCTCACTAAACCCCTCCATCAACGGGCGGCAGTATCAAGATCCAAACTAAAAAGGAGTCCCAAAGTACAAAATTCATACATAAAACAAAATTTGTATTTACATTTCCCACAATATTTTCCAACAAATAAACGATAAACCCTAGAATAATACTATCAACAAGGATAAATTAACAGCATCAAATAAAGGATAAACAGGTAAAACATATAAAACTCCTAAACCAGTTCAGATAGTTTAATACGTTCAGCTGAGTGAATGCTTTTGTTTTTATGGGGGTCCTAATTCATAAAATTCACAGACAGAAAACAGCGATTCCTCTAATTTTCCAAAATTTTCTTGGCAACCAAACATCAAACCCAGAAAAAAACAATAAAAAAAGGGGCTAATTACATTTTTAGTCCCAACGTATATTATTTATCATTTTGGTCCAAATAATTAAATTGTCTTAATTTAGTCAACAATGTATAAAAAAATATTTCAATTTGATCTCCCAACCTAATTCCATCCATAAACGCCATTCCTTCCAATTAAGGGTAAATATATAATTTTAGAGACTAAATTGACACCATTCACATACTTTGAATAATTTTTTTGGAAAAATTCTATTTGCACACCACAAAAAATATCAATACACACTATTATTCAGACAAAAACTTATGAACAAAAATAAATTATTCAAATATACATTCCGTTTAACTATTTATATCCGAACAGTTGCCTTTTGTTCAAAAATTTATACCCAAATGACAAATGGATTCATGTTGTATAGAGATTTTCTGTGGCGTGTAAACAGAATTATTATTATTATTATTATTATTTTAGGTGAGTTTTCGCATAGCATATTTTGGGACCAAAAAGTCCAAATTTTTAAATGAATTCCTACATTCATCCCTAACTTTAATTATAACTATTGACAGAGTTAGATTGGGAATCAAATTATAATATTTTTCAAACATTGCGACTAAATTGACATAGCTCAAACATTGGAACAACCTAAAATAAAATAAACCAAAAAAAAAAAAAACCATAAAATCAATAATAATAAAAATTAGGGTTTGAGATTGAGATTGAATACTTCAAGGTCCGAAATTTCGTGCCAGCCAGAAATAGGGTCGATCCCGGCGTCGTGGAAGAGGTTCTGGCGGAGAGAGAGCTTCCTGAGGTTGGAAAGGTGGGCAATCCGGAGGTCCAAGGTGGAGAGTCGATTGGCGGTGAGGTCCAACTCTGTCAGACTCGGTGGAAGCTCGACTGAGTCGAGATCGTGTAGCTGGAAGCTTGTGAGATCGAGGACTGTAGCCGATGATGATTCATCGTCCTCGTCCACCATTGTTGCATCCTTATTGGGCTCCGATGATGATGATGAGGGTTTCCTTTGATCGTCCATTGATTCGGTACGGAGTTTTCTATTTTGAAATTTCTCTCTTTTTGTGTTTTTGAAAACAAGGAGTATTTTTTTTTTTTTTTTTATGATATTGGGATAATTTTATCTTAGGACACTATGCTTTGGTTATCATTTTTTAAAAATATTTTTAGAAAATTTTATTTTTTTATTTTTTGTATTTTTTTTCTTTTATTAAATTTTTTTAATATTTTCAATAATTTTTAAAATTTTTAGGCATACTTAGGCCTTGTTTGGGAACCCTCCTTTTTAGTTAAAAAGTTACTAATTTAGTCAAAAAAAACCAACAACTCATACCAAAAAGTCAAAGATTCTATTTTCTCTCTACTTTTTGCACATCTTTTCGTAAAAAGCTAAAAATTCATCACAAACATATTAATTTTTTTTAACTCATATTTTAGCTAAGGAAAATGATTGGTGGCCCTAAAAAATTTGTCCCTAATGCCCCTAATTTCCATTTTTGGAAACTGTTTCTTTTTTTCTTTCTTTTTTCCTTTTTTTTTTTTTTTTTTTTTTTTTTTTTTAAAGTTTTTTTTTTTTACTTAAGAAGAGGTTCTGGCGGAGAGAGAGCTTCCTGAGGTTGGAAAGGTGGGCAATCCGGAGGTCCAAGGTGGAGAGTCGATTGGCGGTGAGGTCCAACTCTGTCAGACTCGGTGGAAGCTCGACTGAGTCGAGATCGTGTAGCTGGAAGCTTGTGAGATCGAGGACTGTAGCCGATGATGATTCATCGTCCTCGTCCACCATTGTTGCATCCTTATTGGGCTCCGATGATGATGATGAGGGTTTCCTTTGATCGTCCATTGATTCGGTACGGAGTTTTCTATTTTGAAATTTCTCTCTCTTTTTGTGTTTTTGAAAACAAGGAGTATTTTTTTTTTTTGCTGATATTGGGATAATTTTATCTTAGGACACTATGCTTTGGTTATCATTTTTTAAAAATATTTTTAGAAAATTTTATTTTTTTATTTTTTGTATTTTTTTTCTTTTATTAAATTTTTTTAATATTTTCAATAATTTTTAAAATTTTTAGGCATACTTAGGCCTTGTTTGGGAACCCTCCTTTTTAGTTAAAAAGTTACTAATTTAGTCAAAAAAACCAACAACTCATACCAAAAAGTCAAAGATTCTATTTTCTTTCTACTTTTTGCACATCTTTTCGTAAAAAGCTAAAAATTCATCACAAACATATTAATTTTTTTTAACTCATATTTTAGCTAAATAGCGAAAAAGTTACTAAATTAGTCTGTTCCCAAACGAGGCCTTAAAATAAATATACCTAAAAAGTAAAAAAAAATTGAAAAAACATCTTTTAAAAATTTACTAAATACCAAAAATATAAAAAAAAAATACGAGAATTCAGTACATTTTTTGTATTTTTATGTATTTATTAATTTTTAAAAATATTTTTTCACAAATTTTTTACTTTTTAGATACATCTAAGTAAGGCACATCTAAAAACGTAAAAAAAATGTTTAAAATTTTAAAAATATTCACTAAAAACAAAAAAATACAAAAATCAAAAAATTCAATTTTCAAAAAACTTAATTCAAAAAACTCAAACCAAACACACTTTTTTTTTTGAATGTTTGTATCTCAATAGTATACAAGATATTCTTATATTCTAATAAATCCTATTATTTAAACATTTGATCTACTAAATCTTAATTTTCATATTTAAGGTATTTTATGAATATTTTTATCCTTGTAAATATTTTTTAAATGGTTAACAATTTGGTGATATAAATATTCATATTTTACAATGTAAATATTCACATTGACATATTAATATTGATTGTGTAAACATTCACATTGACGGTGTGAACATTCACATCACAGAACATTCACATTGACCGTGTGAATATTATTGGAAATATTTTGATAATTATATCACGCATAAGACTTACATAAGAAAATAACATGAATTAAATAAAACATAAATAGGTAAAAAAAATTATAAAAAAATACCTCTTTATTTTATAGATTAATAATTCAAATTTGTTCGGTCCGAATTGTCTCATGAGGCTCTTTCAGAAAAAGTCTCCCACGAATTTTTAAAATGAGAAATTCTTATAAAAAAAGAGTCACAATTCAAACATACTCATATGTATGTGGTGATGTAGCGATTATTTTTTTATATATTTATAAAATGACACCAGTTAAATTAGAAAAATTTTAGCATATATTTTCTTTAAAATAACGTACCATATGCACGATTAGTTGTGTTATTTTATTTTTTAATTATGATTAATTTTTTTATTTATTATATTATTTTAGTTATAATTTTTAAATTCTTTAATTATATTCATATTTTTTTAATTATAATTCAGAAAATATAAAATTATATTCAGTGTGTTTGGTTTCAGTTTTTTGAATTCAATTTTTTGAAAATTAAATTTTTTATTTTTTATTTTTTTTATTTTTAGTGAATATTTTTTAAATTTTAAGCAAAATTTTTTTTAGATGCACATTACTTAAATATATCTAAATAGTAAAATATTTATGAAAAAATATTTTTAAAATTTAATAAATGCACAAAAATGCAAAAAAATATACTAAATTTTTATATTTTTCTTATTTAGTGAATTTTTTAAATATTTTTTCACAAATATTATATTTTTTAAGTGTATTTAAAAATTAAAAAAAATACTTAAAATGTTAAAAAATTCATTAAAAACAAATAAATACAAAAAATAAAAAAAAAAAAAATTTCTTAAAAAGTGTTTTTTTTTTTTTTTTTTGGTGAAAATCAAAATCAAACAAGCTATAAAATGATACACCATAGTGTTCTCCGTCAAATTATCTTCAAAAGGTTAAAAAAGTCATCGTCCTACTGTTTCTACGTCGTTTTGGTGAGATTTAATGTCAACCGTTGGATCAATCACTCTAGGAGATGACTGCAGGCTTCTCACTCTAGAGGATCCCGACGCAAGTCACCCCATCCTAGGTCGTGCCACGTGTGATCCAAGTTGTCATTCATCAACTTTTGGGCTAATTACACAGATTTCCTTAAACTTTCTGATAAATACAAAACCCTCCTTGTAATTTTAATTTTGAGCTCTAAAGTTCGATTCGATGAACTAGTTATTAACTAACTTTGTTCTCTGCTTGATCCAACCCTCCATTTCTGTTAACCACACGGTAAACACATGACCTCGTCTCATCGTCCCATGCTTAGGCTGTGGAGAATCCAAGAACCCAAACACGTATCAATTTCTCAGCATCTCAATCACAGTCTAGCTCCAATTACCACACTCAATCACCAACAACCATGGCAATTCCTCTGAATTTCTACCCAAGACCCAGCCAAAATCATAGCTACCCACTTGTCAAATTGCTCAAATTTATCACAATTGAATCAAATTCATGCCCATATCATTCGAACCCACATGCTAGAATTCAATTCTGCTCCATTTCACTGGAACAACATTATAAGATCATACACTAGGCTAGAAAAACCTTCCAAAGCACTGTGTATATTCATTTCCATGTCTCGTGCCGGTGTCATGCCCGATTCTTACACATTGCCCATTGTTTTGAAGGCTTTATGCCGAGTTTTCGATATGGGTTTGGCTCGGCAAGTTCATTCGGTTGCCATAAAGCATGGTTTGGAGGCTAATGAGTTTTGTGAGAGTGGTTTCATTAGTTTGTGCTGTAAAGCGGGCGAATTTAAAAATGCACGTAAAGTGTTTGAACAAAATTGCGAAAGAAAGTTGGGTTCTTGGAATGCCATTATAGGAGGGTTGTCACAAGGCGGTCGTGCTAAGGAAGCAATTACCATGTTCACGGAGCTAAAGAAAAGTGGGATCGAGCCGGATGATGTGACCACGGTTAGTGTAACTTCGGCTTGTGGAAGCCTAGGAGACTTGAATTTAGCTCTTCAGTTACATAAATGTGTATTCCAAGCTAGGAGCTTTGAAAAATCAGATATTTTGATGTTGAATTCACTCATAGACATGTATGGTAAGTGTGGTCGGATGGACTTGGCACACAGAGTATTTTCAAGGATGGAGCAACGAAATGTTTCTTCGTGGACATCCCTGATTGTGGGTTATGCAATGCACGGCCATGTCAATGATGCACTTGAGTGCTTTCATCAAATGAGAGAAGTTGGAGTGAGGCCTAACCATGTGACTTTTGTCGGGGTCTTGAGTGCATGTGTGCATGGTGGGACAGTGCAAGCGGGAAAATATTATTTCAATATGATGAAGAATGAGTATGGTATCAAGCCTCAGTTACCACATTATGGCTGCATGGTGGATTTGCTTGGAAGAGCTGGGTTGCTCGAGGAGGCTAGAGAGATGGTGGAAGATATGCCAATGAAAGCAAATGTAGTAATTTGGGGGTGTTTGATGGGCGCTTGTGAGAAATATGGGCATGTCGAGATGGGTGAGTGGGTGGCAAAGCATTTACACGAACTAGAACCTTGGAATGATGGGGTGTTTGTGGTTCTATCCAATATATATGCAACTAATGGTTTGTGGGAAGAAGTAGAGAGGGTGAGAGGCATTATGAAGGAGAGAAGACTTGCAAAAGTTCCTGCTTATAGCTTGGCTACAAGTTCAACTTGAATCAACAAGGTTTAATATATTCATGACATTCTAATTGTTATCCTCTTATTCTTGTTCTTTTTTGCTTCACAATTGTTCTTTTTGCTAACACCATAAAATTGTTTTAATCTATCAAAGGTTTTAGAGTGTTGTTAAATACAGATTTATCATAAAGATGATTATCAGTGATTGGTTTCTTGTTTATTAGTGGTAAGATGGAAAAATGGTTTTCTGTCTTGCTTATCAAATTTTAGGACAAAATCAGATACTAAATAAGATTTTAAGCTAGCAGCGAAATCCATTAAAAATTTCAGACTTCAACATTGTGTAATAAAAAATTTTACTCTACCTTATATCTTTAACATATGGATTCAGTCTCAAACTAATGCCAAAACTGAGGGCTCTTAGGATCACTGTGCTTGATACGTATCACATGAATATCATGTTGATTAGCAGGGGGAAATGGTTGATTTTTCAGATTTATACAGGCAAAACTAATTGATCAACATTCAAAGTCAAAGTCCATTTCAAAGAAAAGGATCAATTCTACACTGGTGAGCAAAGGCAATTCAGTGTTTGAACCTCTTGTGCCACTCCTCTTTTGCTTTCATTTTCTCCTCGGGTGCATCTGACTATTTTTGAAGTACAAATAAAGTTTTAAGGGTAATTCCACACCTTTCGGGGGATTTGTAGAAAAGAAATTATGTAGATGAAATGTTTTTCAAATACATGTAACGGTGCTATTATATGACGGTATTATCATTAAATAAATAATCTTAATTTACAATAAATATCACAACAATGTTGAATTAGATAAGACTTATTCTCATTTTGTAAATTTTTATTGGTTGATAACACTATTGTCCGGTGACACTATGTAAAATAATCTCATCTTACTTTCAATATATTTTGCCCAACACAGGCCCACTTGCCTGCCTAATGGGTACTTCAACAAACATGCCGTACCTATATTGGGTACTGGTACTTTGTATGATACTTCTTCACATGCACCGGATACACAAAACACGTATCTAAATTTTTTCTTATTAATTTTTCTTATAACCAGAGATACTTAGCATATACCCAAGCCGTACGTCAGCCGGAATAGTTTTTTCTTTTATATAGAAGTAACGTTAATTTCATTGGACTTTTTTTTTTATATATTTTTTTAATTCTTAGCATCAAGCTCTTGTTTGTAATTTATTTAATGTAATGACATTTAATTTTGATTTATACCTTACTTTTTATTAAATGTGAATTCTACTTTAGATCTTATCCAACTAAAACATTTAACTAATTTTTGCATTGCTCCAAATTAAAAAATAATACTTTTTTTATTTATGAATGTACCCAGCCATGTCCGTACTCTACTTTTTTTCTTCTTCAGATTTAACCATATCGATGTACCCCTGCACGTGTTTCATAGTTCCACACATACCGTTCACAATGTTCATTTTGACATTATACATAATTTTTGTCGTATCAATTATCATAAATTTTGATAATTGTAGGTATCTCCTACACACGACACATGTTCTGGGCAGTGATGTGTGGCTAACACGTCGGCATAAGAGCTACACATGTTAGCCTCTGAGGGATACATGTGCAGCCTGTGTACCATGACCGTGATACTAAAGCCCCTAAGCCAAGACGCAGGGCTTCAACACACTGATGTGTGGTCGGCATGCATCATGAGACCGGTGGTTGTTGTGACTTGGAGGCTAGAGACGGTGGTTATGCTCAGCATGGTGCCCTGTGGGACATCACTGCCTTTGCAACTGCATTCAAGATTTTCACATGCACACATTCTTTGTGGTTGTGAGTGTGATCCTCTTTTTTCTTTTTCCTTGTACTTCTAGTTTGAAGCACAAGGCTCACTTTTTTTCTTTAGTATATTTTTTTAGTAAACCCTATTTCATTTTATTAGCTTTGATTGTAGTCTTGGGTTATATCCTTCTTTGCAGATATGTAGCCTTGAAGGATTTTGAGCTACCATAAATTCAGAATACTTTGGATTGAAACAAGGCATTGTAACGCACATTATTCTGTTATAATCATGAGAAGCCTGAGTTTTCAGAACACCCTTTCAAGATAGCTTTCCAAATCAATGCACATTATTCTGTTACAATGTCTTATCTTGGGACAGCTTATTTTCCTTTCCTTGAAGGTTGGAAGGCTGTATTATTCTCCAGTGTGAAAAAGCAATATTCTCTTCTATGGATGTCTGAATTTTGTTTTTGTCTCTACCATCTGACAGAAAAGTAAGGAAGTGTGGGTGATGATGGAGGAAGCAATTTTAAAAGTTAAAAGCAAAAAATAAAAAACCCGCTTCATAGGTATTAAGAAATCTTGTATCCGTGTAAGCATACTAAAGTTTGATGAAGTTTTAAAGTCCTAGAGGAACTCAAAGAGTATGCCCTTGTGAAGATAGTGTGTATGCTTTGATGATTTACAAGTGGAGTGCATATTAAAGGCAAGGCCTTGCTTCATTTTGTTCTGCCTTGGAATTGAAATGAAACTTAATTGGAAAGCTTAATCTCCATGGTTTGTTCACTGTTTGGGCTAAGAATATCAACTGATTTCATGTTTTTGTCACATTTATTTAAATTTTTATTGGATTTGATTCATGGAGCAATTTAATTTTTGCCATACAATCAAATTTTCTCATCTCTCATACTTGCGACGTGTTGAAAATTGAGAAGTTACAGGTACCAGATGAAATGGTTGATACCTTTTGAATCTACATGGTACAACACCTACTTGATTCTGACATATTGCTGGGCTTGGAACAGGGTAAGTGAAATATTAGATATGTAGGTCAAGTTGTCCTGTAGACTGGAACCGGGATTTTTTTTAAATTCAATATGATTCCCAGATTTGATTCTACCATTCCTGATTTAGTGTTCTATATTTCCTGTGACAGATTCCACACCGCATCCCGTGGTTCAATTCAAATGAAGAGTTGAACAATGAAATTGATGAAGTCCAATTTGAAACTACAATGATGTTGCTAAGGTAGTTTTTGGTAACGTTTTCAAAACAAACAAAAACAAAAACAAGAAATCATGTTAAGTGAGTTTCTGGGGGTTGCGGGGCTGCCAGAGGTGGTGGCCAGAGGGTGGGGGTTTTTGGAGGGGGTGGGGGTTTTTGGAGGTGGTGGGCAGCGGCGATTGTGGATGGCTGATGATGGTGGCCAGAAGCGACAAAAGGGGTGGGAGTGGTGGCCAAAGGGAGAGGGTGGCTGGAGGTGGTGGGAGGAGATGGGAGGGGGAGGGGGAGGAGGAAAAACCTTGTTTTCAACAAAAAGAAAAAAAAAAAATTTAGTGACAACACAATTTTTTGTAAACTGTTTACATTTTTTTTGGAGGCGATTACAGTTGCCAAACATTTTTCCGTTTACAGTTTACACATTATTTGAAAACATAAACAGAAAACATGACCAAATATTCAAACCTAATTGACAGTTGAAATAAATTCCTCAATTCGCTTTGCCATGCCATGTATTGCAGAATCATAGAAAACAACCAAATCCTCAAGCCTCCATCTTTCTACGGGATCCACAACAAATGAACATTCCATTTCGCAACCTTCACTGTACGACTCTCCAAAAGGAAGGAACTTCACCGTCACAACAAATGAATTGAAATCAATATAGTTATCCAAAATCTCAAAGCTATAGCTCCAGGCAACCGGATGAATGGTTAGCAACTTCTCCAACCCCCATTTTGTAACCGTTCTTCGGACCTTGTGAAGGAGTTCTCTGTGGTTGTGCAGTACCGGACGCATCCGGGTTGACCGGATAGACCTTTAACTCGATAGCATGTTTCCATTGTTGGGACCAACTTGTGGAGGTTGAAGAAGTCCTCCAAACCGTGCAGCCGGTTATCTTGGCTTTAACTCAGCCTCTCAATTTGTTGTCTGCCTCAGTTGCCATGCTTGCTCAACTGTCGATGGAGTCTTGTGATTGACTAACAAGCAAAACCGAATGTCAAACGGGCGGCATTAAAATGGAACATTTTATACATTTTTGGAGCTGTTACACATGAAGTCTGTAATAAAATAGTAGTGTATTGGTCAACTCCAATTGCTTTCAAGTTTCTTCAACTTTGGCAACAAACTTCTGCTGAAGTGTATTCGGGAGAGAACTTATCAAGGTGACAATAAGAAACACTCGTTCTGAAGTACATTATCGTTTCAAAAATATTTAATGATTCAAACTAACCCAATTTTTTTTTCTTATGTATATATTCTTAAAAGTTTCCCTTTAGAAGCAAAAACAAAATCAAATATAGTGAAATAAATTATAGACGGGAGCTTTGGCATGACAAACTATAAAAAAATAATGGGTCATAATGCTCCTAGATTTATGTTTTACAATAATCACCTATTCTTATTGAATGTCTAATTATTAAATGGAACTTGATTGTATGGTATTTATACAAGCCTACTCATATCGTATCATATTTTCGAGCATATAGTATATATGTTTTCATTCTTGTTTCTCGTGAATGATTGGTATTGAAACAACATGTGATTCAAAATAAAACACTGTATGGGAATGGGTTTCCCATTGACGACTGATGGTGATAATTACAAATAAAATACCAGAAAATACAAATAATAAAAGTTACAATAACTATTATAAGGGCTGAGGCACGGGAAATTTGCTCTCTTTAAGGAGATTCAAGCCCTCTGTGGTTAGGCAAAGTTTCACACCGGTGCAGCAGAAAAAACCTGGACTTGTCCCCCCAGGATACAACAGCCAAACTAAGTCGTATGGTGCACCAATACTGCATGCACAATTGGTTGAACCCAAAACTTTATCACATACACCCTTTTTATTTGCCTGATAATCTCACACAAAACATAATAAAGCAACAAAAAACCTTTTCTTCTTCTAAGATACGAAGTTAGAACAATATATATAAAAGTGAAAACTTGTCAGGCAAGTGTTCTTGGTGAAGAAGTTTTCTGGGCGAAGACTTGACTTGGACTTGGAAGACTTGATAGGTAAACAAGAAGACTTGATTGGTGGGCAAGCAAACTTGGTAGAAAAGAAAAGAAAAACAAACCTATAACACATTATAATATTAAAATATCTGCTAACATTCCCCCACCTATTTTAATATTATAGGTAACAAAAAATTGAGATTATTAGGCAAATAAGGATATTATGCATCATGGTAGGTGTGCTCTGCATTGAACCTCCATTAGTGAAACAATAATATCTACTCTAGAGCCAATAGTATGCTCAGCATTGAACTATGACTACTTAAGGGAAATAAATAATTATTGCACACACATAATATTCCAAGTGTTCACATAAGCTTTAAAAGCTAGCACGTTACGGCCTTGTGCGATCCTAGGATTCATGAGTGCGTTTGAGAATTAGCCCAAATCTCATAGGTAGCGGCCCCACTACCACACTCACATAGGTGAATTCTGTCAAGGGTGCTCCTGTAACTATGACACCCCCACTCAATAAGAGCTACAGAAATTCATTAAGAGTTTTTTAATAACTCAACCTCTACAACGTTACGGGATAAATGCACTTATATCATATGGATGGATAAAAAGTAATTTAGTGCATTTCTCACGGCCATCATATGATCGTTTTTCTCATTGAACCTAATTACAGGATCTCTGGTCCCTAGGTTGAGTATCCTCATACATGGCTCCTGCTATATTCAATGGGCTTCAACCCCATCCCTCTCGATGTATTCCAGACTCTATCTCTTGCTAAGGCCTTAGTTAATGGATCTGCAAGATTATCACCAGATTTAATATAATCTACATTTATGATGCCATTATTCATATAAGATCTCACAGTACTGTGTTTTCTTCTGATAGGTCTGGATTTACCGTTATAATAACGGTTATTAACTCGACCAATTGCTGTAGTGCTATCACAATGAATCAATATAGGTGGAATCGATTTTTCCCAACAAGAGATTTCATTTAACAAATCTCTCAACCAATTTGCTTCTTCACTAGCTATAGCTAAAGCAATAAACTCAGCCTCCATTGTTGAATTAGCAATAATGGTTTTTTTTTTTTAATTTCCAACATATAGCACCACCTCCCAATGTAAATAAGTAACCAGTGGTTGATAATGAATTACCTGACAAAGTATTCCAATCGGCATTACTGTAACCTTCAAGTACTGCAAGATACTTATTATAAAACAAGCCATATTTTATGTTACCAGATAAATATTTCATAATCTGCTCAATGGCTAGCCAGTGATCACTGTCAGGCTTGCTAGTAAACCTGCTAAGTACTCCAACTGCATAGGCAATGTCAGGTCTAGTACAGTCAATCGCATAACGCAAGCTACTAATCATACTTGCATATTCCTTTTGATTAATTGCATCCTCATCATTTTCAATAGGAAATAAACGCACATGAGGATCAAAAGAAGTAAGAACATGCTTGCGCTTATAAAACTTATATTTTCTCAAAATTTTCTCAACATAATGCGATTGATCAAGAAATATACCATCACAAGTTTTGGTAATTTTCATTCCCAAAATATAATTAGCCTCACCAAGATCTTTTATATCAAAATGGCTACTAAGCATATTTTTAGTTTCCACGATGATATGCAAATTAGAGCCAAATATAAGTAAATCATCCACATAGAGGCTAATAATGACATGTGAATTTTCTTCAGATTTATAGTAGATGCATTCATCACATTCATTCGTTTTATAGCCATTCTCAATCATGTAGGAATCAAATTTCTCATGTCACTGTTTAGGAGATTGTTTTAAGCCACATAGGGATTTAACTAGCTTGCACACTTTGCTTTCTTGACCGGGTTCCACAAAACCCTCAAGTTGATCCATATTGATTTCTTCACACAGGTCTCCATTTAAAAAGGCCGTTTTAACATCCATTTGATGAATCTTTAGATCATGAATTGTAGTCACTATAATTAATAATCTAATGGATGTAACTCTAGTAACCGGAGAAAATGTATCAAAAAAGCCAAGATCTGCTTGTTGTTTAAAACCTTTTGCAACAAGCTTTACTTTATATTTATCAATAGTTCCATCTGGTTTAAGTTTTTTTCTCAAAACCCATTTACAGCCAATAGTTTTACAACCTGGTGGTAAATTTACTAATACCCAAGTTTTATTGGATAATAATGATTCCATTTCATCATTTACAGCCTCGTTCCAAAAAATAGAGTCAGGAGATGCCAAAGCTTCTTGTAAAGTTAATGGAGTTTCCTCCACATTAAAAACATGATAATCAGGGCCAAAATCTTTTTCTAATCTGGCTTTTTTTACTCCTTCTAGGTTCAAAAACTACAGTGTCTTGATTTTGTAAAAGAGAAGTAGAGGAACCAGTTTCAAATAAAACATTTTCTTGATAATTTTGACCCCCACCATTTTTAGATTTAAAAAGAAATTTTTCTTCATGAAAAATTGCATCACCTGATTCAAAAATTATTTTGTTTTCCATGTCAAAAAATCTATAAGCTGTACTATGTGTTGCATATCCAAGAAAAGCACAAGTGGCAGCTTTCACACCTAATTTAGGTCTTTTATGGTCCACAAGTCTAATAAAAGCTAAACAACTCCAAACCCTCAAATATCTCAAATTTGGCTTATGCCCTTTCCACAACTCAAAAGGTGTAACTTTTGTTTTTTTATGTGGCACTCTATTCATAACATAACATGCAGTTAAAATTGCTGAAGGAGCACATGCTTCAATTAGCATAACATTTGCTAAATCAGTTAAAGTTCTGTTTTTTCTTTCTGCTACACCATTAGATGCAGGTGAATATGGTGGAGTAGTTTCATGGATTATTCCCAAAGACTGAGCAAACGAGTTGAATCCAAAAGATTCATATTCCCGGTCTCTATCACTTCTATATCTTTTAATCTTTTTACTAAATTGATTTTCAACTTCAAGAAGGAATTCTTTAAATTTCTCAAAAGCATCACTTTTATTTTTCAACAAGTATACATAAGTATATTTTGAAAAATCATCAATAAAAGTGATATAATATCTATTTCCACCACGTGTTAAAATTCCTTCAAATTCACATAAATCAGTGTGAATTAATTCTAACAATTCAGTATTTCTCATCACACTTTTATGAGGCCTTTTAGTTATTTTTGCTTGACTGCAAACTTCACATTTCTCAAACTTATTTGTTAGTCTGGGAATTAATCATAAACTACTCATGACTCCCACATATCGGCTATTAATATGACACAAACGAGCATGCCAAAAATTCATAGAAGACTGTGTGTAAACAGAAACATGTGCTTTCTTATTCTCAACGTTTAATTTAAATATTCCATCACAGGCATACCTTTTCCCCACAAATATGCCTTTTTTAGTGATTACATATTGGTCAGATTCAATAGTCTGCTTGAAACCAGCTTTGTTGAGCAAATAACTCGACATCAAATTTTTCCTCATGGACGGTATGTACAACACATCTTTTAAAACAAGCACACGTCCAGAGATAAAATTCAGCTCAACATCCCCACACCCGAGCACCTTGGTTAAACTAGAGTCACCAAGCATAATAGTCATCTCCTCATTAAAATGAGTAAAATCTTTGAACCAATCTTTATCATAGAAGACATGCCTATTGGCACCAGAGTCTGCCCACCACCCTTCCACAGATTGAACCATAAAAATATCTGTAATCATTGCCACAAATGGTTCCTCGGTAACATTAGCATGTGGTTAAGACTATTGTTTCCGAAATTTGCAAGTTCGAGCAATATGCCCACTTTTGCCACACACAAAACATGTCACATTTGTCAGATCTTGTGAAAGGGGTTCTTGGTTCCATTTCTTTTGCCTCGGGTAATTTTTATTTTGTGGCCTTCCAGTATTTTTCTAGATTTTCTTAACTGGCTTCAAGTGACTATTTTTATAAAATCGACCTTTAGGTAAAGTATTTCCAGAAGTTAAATTTACCTTTGCAGTGAAATGCTTTTGTGTCATAAGCGCATCTTGTCCTCGTGCTTCCTCCTCCACCCGAATCCGTGTGATTAGAGTCTTCAAGGATGTCTCTTTTTGCTTGTGACGCATTGATTTCTAGAACTCCCTCCAAGATGATGGTAGTTTGTCAACAATACTTGCTACAACAAGATTGTTTCCAATTTTGATGCCTTCGGATTTAACTTCAACCACTAGCATCTGAAAATCTTGAACTTGCTCCACCATTGATTTTCCATCTATCATCTGATAGCGGAAAAATGGCTTGCAGCATATTTTTTAGCGTCTGCCTCTTCAGTGTCATTTTTATTCCGCAAGGCTTTCCAAATTTTCTTGCCAGTGGTGTACGTAGTATCATAATAATCATAAAATTGATATGAAAGACAATTCAAACGATAGTATCAACATTTATACTCATCTGTGTTGTATTTCTCGATTTTTTCAAGATGAGCAGCATACTCCTCGCCGGTCATCTCTTCAGTGGGGACTTTGTTCGGATTTTTCTCGGTCAGGATATAGGCTACCTTGAGGAGACTGAGGTAGAAAAGCACCTTGCCTTTCCATCTCTTGAAATGGGTTCCCTTGAATCGGAAGGGCTTGTTGAGATCGCCGGTATTCTCGTTGGGTTTCTCCAGTACTAGCTCCATGACTTTTTGTTATTGAATCTCCTTAAAATTGATGGTGATAATTACAAATAAAACACCAGAAAATACAAATAATAAAAGTTACAATAACTACTATAAAGGTTGAGGAGCGGGAAATTCGCTCTCTTTAAGGAGATTCAAGCCCTTTGCGGTTAGGCAAAGTCTCACACCGGTACAGCAGAAAAAACCTGGACTTGTCCCCCCCAGGATACAACAGCCCGACTAAGTCGTATGGTTCACCAATACTGCACAATTGGTTGAACCCAAAGCTTTATCACATACACCCTTTTTATTTGCCTGATAATCTTACACAAAACATAATAAAGCAACAAAAAACCTCTTCTTCTTCTAAGATAAGAAGTTAGAACAATATATATAAAAGTGAAAACTTGTTAGGAAAGTGTTCTTGGTGGAGAAGTTTTCTGGAGACTTGACTAACACTTGGCGAAGACTTGACTTGGACTTAGAAGACTTGATAGGTAAACAAGAAGACTTGATTGGTAGGCAAGCAAACTTGGTAGAAAAGAAAAGAAAAACAAACCTATAACACATTATAATATTAAAATATCTACTAACAACGATTGTGAGCATAAGTGCTCTTAATCAGCAAAGAAAATGTTAGATGCCTAAGAATGCATGACCAAATCAAGTCTTGTGTCCCAATAAATTGAAGTCAGCTGTGTCTAAGATGCATAAAAAATAAATAAAAATTCAAACTTTAACTACATTCTAAAATGCCATAAGTAATGGCAGAAATGCATCTTGTACTTTGAAAAAACATCAGAATTCAGTCTTTCTTCTCAATCACGTGAAAACATGCTGAGAGAACGAGAATTATCCGAGACTATACACATCTTTCTCATCCTTCTTATGAAGCACAAGAGCGATTGATGCTTTTCATACATCACCTCAAATGCCAATTCACAGGTTTAATCCCTTCTTCAGCTGCCTTGACAATTTTTGAGTCTTCAACGACACATAGTTATCGTTTCACCTTTAGTCACATTGTTTCCCTCTTTAGATCCAACCATTTCTTCTTCTCCCTTGTGCAAGCTCTCATTGACTTTATTGTGATCATTCAAACTCAAAAGCCCATTTTGACGCAAAAACTCTTTCTTATCGTCACTTTTCTCATTCGACATGGATTCCAAATTGTTGTTGACATCTTGTGGAACACCATTCTCATCATGGAAGGTATGCCCTCCGTCTTCCATTTTACTATGGCCCGAGATAGTGGCATTATCAATTCCACTTGAATTCACCGAAACCATCTTTTCAACAATACTACTTCCCTTGATCGCTTCATTTTCCTTTCTAGAAACTTCTTCATTATCCGACTTCTTGTTGTCATAAATTTGGAAATTGTCATTTTTTCTTTCTGGTTCCTTCTGATCCTGTTCCCCTCCATTACTCGCAACTTCCTTAGGGTAAGATTCTTCTTCAGAATTGTCTGTTTTTTTATCAAACCCATCGTATCTAGCACCTCCATCTTCAAAATTAGAGTCACTTTCCCCGCTTGACAATCCTAAATTCCCTTTACGCCCCAAAATGGAAGCACCGTGTTCTTCACTGAGCTTCCTTTGTATGTTTCTTCCATTGTCCTCTGTGTTATCGTGCGAGTGCTTGATTTGGTACAACAACCAGATGCAGAAAACCAAGAGCAATGTGAATTGAAGGCCTCGCTTAACCTTGAACCCTTTGGGACGCGGGTTTCTTGAGGCAGATTGGTAATTCATCACGCTTTGTTCCGCGTTCTTCTGAATGTTATTAGTAATCTAAAAACCAATACAAAAAAAAAAAAAAAAAAAAAAAAAAAAAAAAAACAAACAAAAAAAAAAAAAAAAACACAAATGACAAGTTAAAAGAATTTTTAAGACAAAAGGACATAGTTATGCGTACTTGAAAGTTTCAAAATCAGTTGTATAGAGTCTCATGCATTCAGTCACCATTTATTTTTTATTATTATTATTATTATTATTTATTCGTTCTTGCTTTCTTTTTTCTACTTTCCATGCTTCGAATTTTACGGATATAAGAATCAAAGAATTATTAGTCTGATGAGAGTGAAAAGGTTTTGTTCCGCACGTCAAAAATAATAACAATTATTGCTACAAATTTCAGCAACCAAGAGAACAGAGTATATTACTGAGGAGATTCATTTAAAAAAAATATTTCTCAAGCCTTGGTATGAATCTGATTGTAATGAAACTATTTGATCTCATAAATAAATAAATAAATAATCACAGAAGCGTGCGAAAAAAATCAATGTGCAGCCTATATTCATTTGGGGTGTGATCCCCCCCACAGCTAGAATGAATATGGGTATACATTTTTCTAATTTTCTTTTTTTTTACAAGTGACATTATTAAATATTTAAAAATAGAAAAACTTTAAACACAAATAGAAATACAAAAACAATCACAGATGTGAGATAAGGAGTGAAACCCACACATGATAAACAATCCCACTCCTTGAGTGTTTCTATATTTCAAATTCTGTGTTCCAAGCATTGTTGTTTGGAAATAGGTTTTATGTGAACTGATTTTCATCTGGTCTTTTGTTATTGTCTCTTTGGTTCAAAGACCATTCCAATTCTTATGGTTACTTTACTCTCTTTAAAAAGTCTTGTTTGTTTCCATCTATTAATTTCTCTGAAAAAGTTTTACTCATTCATTAAAACCTAGATAGTCTACAGACTCAATCACTATCACTTTATTTATTTTCTAACCTATCTTTCTTTTCTTCCTCACTTTCTCCAGAAAATCAAACAAAGGAGAGGATTCTATTTCCCTTGCCATTATTTTCTTTCCTTGCACTTTCACCAGTAACCGACCAGAGTTCACACAAACTCCTGCTGTGCTTGGTTGCCAGGAAATATAAGAGGGGAAATTGAAAACTTTGAATCTTGAATCATTTAGAATTTGACTGTTTGTAATGAAAACGTTTAGCTTGGTAATATTCAGGAAATCCAAACCACAAGAACTACAGGTCCCAAAACTTCACCTTCTGTATTGTTCCCCTTCATTTTCTCAGTAACCAAACAGAGAGTAAAATTGGCAAATCAATTACAAACCAAAAATTAATCACACAAAACTTACTCCAGTTTCCACAAGTAATCAAAATTATTAAACCCACACAACGAATTCAAAGTACAATTACACAAAACAAACATATAAATCACAAAATCATAGGCAAAAAAACAGAAATGTATAGAGAAGAAACTGCAGAAAACTGACCTTTTTTCGAAGAATAAAAAATCGAAGAGTCCCAGAACGATAGAATTGAAAAGTACCCAAAAATGATAACAAAGTGAAGTATTTGAAATGTGAATTTTCTTTCACTTTCTTTCCTTTTCTTTAGCTCCGAGAAAGGGTTGGGCGTTGAAACTGAGGATATGGTTGACAATTCCAAAGCTGCGGTTAATTTCTATTCTTATATTCCTAAAATACCCTTTCTTATGGAAACAGAATCACTAAATTTAGAAGTAAATAAAGCGACATGTTAAGGGTAATTTTGGGAACTCGATTTATGGCTGTGCCGCCAGAGTCGCCTTCAGTAACGGCTACACTAACATGTTCACTTTAGGCTGTTGAGAGTTAGGCGTTCTTGACCAATACTGTGTTGCCACGTGGATATGTATATATATATATATATTTTAAAGAGGCAAGCTTACTGTTATTGGATATGGATTGGGTTGCTCTCAAGCAAGCCCAATGGCAGCCCTATTGTCCTGTGCTTTGTTTGTTGTGTTTTGTTTTATTTTTTTTTTCATTTTTTATATTGTATAAACAAAATCAAGGAAAAAATTGAAAACACTCAGCCCTTTGTTAATGTTTACAATTTATTATTTTTTTTAAGTAAAAACTAAACAAGAAACTTATTCAGTGCACTCATATATTTATATTTATATATATATATATATATATTAAAAAAAACATTAAAAAACAAGCAAGAGATAGTCTAATGGGATATGATGGTCAAAGAATTGTTGGCAGCTAAGAGATGGTAATAAAAAATGGCTGTTGTCTGTAGGAGATGGTTGTCAACCGCTAAAAGTGGTAATTGAAGTTAGTTAGCAACGGCTAGAGGTGATTGTTCACTAGAAGAACTAGTTGTCGAATAAGGTCATCTATAACAAAGGCCGAAGGTAAGGGTAGCCAAATGTGATGGTCAATGGTGATGATGAGTAATAGGTGGTGTCTTGAAGGCGGGTGAGGAGAAAAAATTGAAAATAAAAAAATAAAACTCTAAACAAAAAAATTTTCTTTTTTTTGTAATTACAAAAAATTAATAAATGTTGCAAACTATTTATAAGTTTTAAAATGAAAATAAGTACCAAATGAGTTTTTATTTATTGTTTTAATTTTTTTTTGTAAATATAAATAGAAAACAAATTAAAAAATGAAAACAACCAATAAATTGTCTTCTTTTTTTTTTATAATAAAAGAATCCTCAAAAGTATAGATAATTTGTGAAATTTCTTGAATTTCCCTGGAAAATTGCCCTTTTGTAGTGTTCGTTGTTTATTCATAATCCCTTAGTGGGCTCAGCCCAAACCAATTTGAAAGACAGAGAAAGCTGGGTTGAATTTTCAGTGATAAGATTGGATTGATCTATGAAATTTCAGGGTTTATGAAACTAAACCCAATCCAACACCAAATAATTTGATGCTAACTTGACACCAACTTTACTAGTGCAAGTAGGAATATATGAGTGGAGTTGAGTAATAGATTTTTTAAGTTTGACTTGTTTACTTTTTAAATCAATCTGAAACTAGCTTTTTAATTGAACCAATCATAAGCTGTGCTTGAGTAACTTTTTTGTTTTTTTTTTTTTGTTTTTATAATTTTTATAATGCACATAATTGAATTCAGTCGAGTAATAAGTTATTCAAATTTATCTTGAAAATTTAATGAACTTTAACTGTCCAAGTTTGATGTATTCACAAAACAAGTCAATTTCAAATAAATTTTTAACAAGTCGAGTCAAGTTGAGTGGTAGGTTTTTCAAGTTTAGTTTGTTTAACTTTCAAACCAATCTCAAACCAGGTTTAATTGAGCTAGTCACAAGCCAAGCCTAAGTAACTTTATTTTTTTATAATACACATAATTGAGTTGAACCGGCTCGACCAAGCTAAGCATTGAAGCTCTAGTTTTGACAAGATGATGGTGAACTAGACCTAATTAAGGTTGTAAATAAACCGAACTATTCATGAATAAGTTCGGCTCGGCTCAGCTCATTAAGGTTCGTTCAGTAAATGAGCCGAGTTCGAACTCGCATAAGCTCGGCTCGTTTATCTTAATTTATAATATATAAATAATATTATAAATACATTATTTATATATTAAATAATATTTTTTTATTTAAATAATATAAATAATATTAAAAAAAATTATCGAGTCGAGCTGAGCTTGAGCTCAATAAACGAGATCGATAAGCAAACGAGTTGAGCTCGAGCTTAGCAAAGCAAAACTCGGCTTGACTTGGTTCGTTTGTAGCTCTAGACATAATGAACCAACAAAAATAGCCTTTGCACTCATGACACATGGCAATTTTTAACCGCTTACGACACGACAAAGCCTCACATAAAAGTTGTTGAAGTTTGGAGGATTAAAATAAAAGAGTCTTAAAATGTTAGTTAATGTACGTGTTTCAATATTGAATTGTTTCAATGACAGATAAGATGATCATTAACAGAAGTTTACTAAGAAGAAAATTGGAAAGAACAAAGAAAATGACATGAAAGCAACATCCTCAAGTATATTAATTATCCAAAAGTTTGAGCCATCAATTATTTAGAACTCTTGAACCTTATTAGAAGGTGAAGAATTCGAATTTCTTCACCTTTATATATTGTATTTAATTTTTATTGATGTGGTATAATTATCATATGGAATTATCGTTTTAATAGACGAGATGTCTAATCTACAAGAAAATAACAAAGAATTCACAAGGAAGAGAAGGAATCACTGCAAGAAAATCGAGAATTAGCAGCATTTTTAAAACCAAGTCGAGTCAAGTTGAGTGGTAGGTTTTTCAAGTTTAGTTTGTTTACCTTTCAAACCGATCTCAAACCAGGTTTAATTGAGCTAGTCACAAGCCAAGCCTAGGTAACTTTATTTTTTTATAATGCACATAGTTGAGTTGAACCGAGTCAAGTAATAAGTTACCCTAACTAAGCTTAATTTTATTTTACGCCAATTAGGATTTGATTGCTTGCAATCCCTATCATTGAGTTACATTACCATTTCGACCAAGCTAAGCATTGAAGCTCTAGTTTTGACAAGATGATGGTGAACTAGACCTAATTAAGGTTGTAAATAAACCAAACTATTCATGAATAAATTCGGCTCAGCTCGGCTCGGCTCAGCTCATTAAGGTTCGTTTAGTAAATGAGACGAGTTCGAGCTCGTATAAGCTCGACTCGTTTATCTTAATTTATAATATGTAAATAATATTATAAATACATTATTTATATATTAAATAATATTTTTTATTTAAATAATATAAATAATATTAAAAAAAATTATCGAGTCGAGCTGAGCTTGAGCTCAATAAACGAGATCGATAAGCAAACGAGTTGAGCTCGAGCTTAGCAAAGCAAAACTCGGCTTGACTTGGTTCGTTTGTAGCTCTAGACATAATGAACCAACAAAAATAGCCTTTGCACTCATGACACATGGCAATTTTTAACCGCTTACGACACGACAAAGCCTCACGTAAAAGTTGTTGAAGTTTGGAGGATTAAAATAAAAGAGTCTTAAAATGTTAGTTAATGTACGTGTTTCAATATCGAATTGTTTCAATGACAGATAAGATGATCATTAACAGAAGTTTACTAAGAAGAAAATTGGAAAGAACAAAGAAAATGACATGAAAGCAACATCCTCAAGTATATTAATTATCCAAAAGTTTGAGCCATCAATTATTTAGAACTCTTGAACCTTATTAGAAGGTGAAGAATTCGAATTTCTTCACCTTTATATATTGTATTTAATTTTATTGATGTGGTATAATTATCATATGGAATTATCATTTTAATAGACGACATGTCTAATCTACAAGAAAATAACAAAGAATTCACAAGGAAGAGAAGGAATCACTGCAAGAAAATCAAGCATTAGCGGCGTTTTAAAAATGCCGCAATAGGCTAGAAAACGCTGCAAAAATAAAAAATGACGCTTATAAAATTTGTCGATGATGCGCCGTCATTGTATCTTTGTGACGTTTTAAAAATGCCACTAAAGACTTTAAACGACGTTTTCTAAAACGCCTTTAAATCTAACAGCTGTTAACTGTGCACGTTAGAGGAGTCATCTCTGATGTAATCATGACGACATTTCGCGACGTTTTTAAGAAAAAAGCCACCATTTCTGTCATTTAAAAAAAGAATGAAAGATCATAATTAATGATCTTCTAACTTTTGTTCAAACCAAACCTATATTATCCATCACCTTATCCATCACCATTCTCAAAATATATAAGCATTCATTTTTCAATTTTTTATAAAAAAATAAATAAATAAATAAAACCCTTAAAACACAATATGACAATACAAAAATAATAATAATAATAATCAGTGTGCTCTCCAAATTCTCTGAAAATAACTTCATCCACAACTCTCTTCAGCTTCCATCAAGTCATCCATCATCTTCACCAAAATGATGATTATATACCTGAATCATCCAATTCCATTAACACAACTTCAATAAACTTGAATGATTGGAAAATCTACACTCTTGCATACCATGTCAAGAAGGCTAGAAAGATAAGAAATTATGAAATTTCCAAGTGTATGTAGAACGAAAACTTTTTTATTTATACATTGTATTCACAATATGCAATATAGATTGTGCACAAAATAAATAAAATAAAAACAGAAGAAAAGATGAGAGCTGTAATAACCCTTGAAATGCAATTCAAACTACATGGTAAATTGATCTGTAAGTAGGTATAATACAGAATGAGCATCCTAGGGAACAAAAGTGAAAAAATGGAAGCTTTACCTTTAGAGCTGCCACCATCACCCAAAAATCAAATGAATTAGAATCAACATCAGCACGACTATCATTAATTATACGCTGTAGATTTGAACCTAACATGCCAAACATGAGATAAAATTAACCATCTAATTATGTGCTACAGGTATGATTCACAGTTAATTACAGTAGGATGGAAGCTCCATAAGCCATATTTGCCAACTACTTAAAATTAAGAACGCTGCTCCTATAATATCAGACTAAATTATTAAAATGTTACTTGCCCATAAAAATCAATTAAAAAGCATGTCCAAAAAAAATTCACATTTCCCTATCATCTTCAAGCGCAAAGCAGACTGCATAATACACACAAAGATGCTCATTGCATACTTTGAATGCACTAGGGGGGTCTGAAAATCTTTATCTGCCACATATTACAATCATGATTGAAATCTCAAAGCTTCTTGATGATTGGACAAAACACAAGAACAGACGAATTTAAATAGAATAAAAAACTACAAGGTTGGGGGACACTTATTGGAGGCAGACTTGCAAAACCAACTGAAAAAACAATGGTAGAAAAATATTTGATGAACCATGAGAGAAATGAAAAGTACTCAAGGTAGAATATAAACACAATTTCTTATCATTGCAATTGTAAAAAAGTAGGTTTATTCAAATAAGTTTAATTCTCATATTCATCCATAATCTATAAGTTCAAAATACCAAGACTTGGCCAAGTGACAACTATTTTTCTCAATACTGGATTCCGCCCTAAGAGGGCTGATTGTCTATAGAAACAATGCAACAGGTTTAGCATATAATATATTCACCATGCCTCAACAACTATGCATGAATTTCTTCACCCTAGTATCGCTCCGAATAAATTAGACAACATCCCTTACCAGCAAGTTACAGCTTAGTCCAGTGTCCAGGTGGCATTACAGGTGATGACTTGGCAACATGCAGAGAGAACAAACCAACTCAACTCAAGTGGGTTTAGGTTTGTTTCAAAAATTGTATTTTTGTGATGTAGATGGATATATAAAATTGAAAAGGAATTTAGACCTTAAAATATTAATCTATGTAGTTCTTATTCGGAAAACGTGTATAAAGTGCATTTAAATTTGTAAAATTGAATAAAAATATGTAAAAGTGATTTGGGATATTTAAAATGTATGTTGGGATTATAAATATTTTGGCATTATATAGTTCTTATTGACGGACGTTAAAGCTGTCATTAGCATGACCCTTTTCCAATTCCAATAAATTTTTGCATCAATTATATGTACCATATCAAGCCATTTTTTAAACCATTCTATAGCTGAATTCTGAAGATGTTAGATGTTCAGATCCTGATCTTTAATTAATTTATTTGCCCTTGTGTGGAACAAGAAAACTTCCCAAGCAAAACCATTTGAAGTTTAGAGTTTTCTTTTGTGTTAGGCAAGATTGATATTAGTTTCACTAGTTTTTTTTTTTTGGAACCTCATTGGCATGGGCCATCATAACGACAGCAAATTCAGTGATCAGATCAGAGGCTCACACTAGGCTTAAGGTCAGTCCTAATTGCGAGCCATTGATTGGCAGATTACATGCTCATGCAGATAAACAAGGGTAACATGCATTAAAATCATGTACTTACTAATACCCCGAGGAGCAAATACTTTAAATGAAGCCTCAACCGCTTCTTTGTAGTTGTCTTTATCCATTGCTCTCATCCTGGCTCTTATCAGTTCCTAAGATGTTCAACGTCCCAATCAAGCCACCGTAGCATACAACAATAAAACAAAATGGATAAGATGAAATGTGGGACTAAATGCGCAAACCTTGAACTCCTTTTTCTCTTCCCTGGTTGATGGAAGGCTTCCACCATGAGTTTTGGCCCACTCATCTGCCACTTTCAAAAGAATGATAACATATGGTGTGTGTTTATAGACAACAGAATCAGCCACATTCAAGTCAGTTGTTTCTGCAAAGCTATCATTGATAAACATGCAATCAGCTTCTCACTTAAGATGTAAGCTGCTTAGGTACATGGTAAAAAATAAAATCCATTAGCTTTTACAGTTCAGTAACTGATGTGCCAAAATAAAACACACAGAAAAACCAAACCCAGAGAGAGAGAGAGAGAGAGAGGGGTCTTAAGACCCATACCTTCTCAGCTCAGGCCATGGGCTATTTAGCAAGAGATCATCCAGAAAATGATCAGGCTTTGACTCGATCACTGTATGCTCCTGCCTCACAGAAGCAAAGTAATATTAGCACCTCCATTCTAGAGAAATTACAAATCTGATAATTGAGTTTTTGGACACTCCGTTTCGATTACATTATGAGGAGAAAAAAATGTGTGAATTGCGACAATCTCTCCGGATAAGCCACCATGTATTTCTCCAAATCAAGGTCCAAATATTCAAAATGGATATACCATTCATTTTTTATATTGCTTCATACATCCAGCAGCCTGTTAACCTAGCTTTTGTTAAGAAAGTATATAATCAAATATATAAAGTAAAAAACAAAGACATTGATTAGATTTTTAATGGGTTTTTTTTTTTAATCAGAACTCCAAAGAAATAACTTACTTGACAATGTTTATGCGATCCATCTCTGTCAGCATTAAGATTTCTAGGATTGTTGTATATGGGACACCATTTTTGCAGTTAAAAAAAAGTATGCAGTCTCTTTATTGCTACAATTTGATTAGTCTCAAGATTAAAACCTTTGTGAACAATACCGTAGGCGCTGAGTCCAATAACCTTTACCCAGCTTTTACTGTCAATTCAACGGCTTTAGTTTATTGACAACACACAACATATATAAATTAATTCAGGATGATTACACTACAAGAAAATGTACTTTTCGCGATTAAAGTTTTAGTCGCCAAAAGTAAGGTTTTTAGTCGCCGAAGCCTTTTCCCGACTAGATTTGTCGCGGAAAAATGGTCGGAGAAGGTTTTGGCGACAAAAAAAAATTTAGTCGCCAAAAGTCTTATAAATGGCTACTAATGTTTTAGTAGGGAAAAGTACGAGGTATTGGCGACTAAATATTTTTTAGTAGCCAAAAGTCATAAATTGGCGACTAAATATTTAGTCGCCAAAAGTTTTCAAATAAAATTAATTTTCATTTTCAGCGACTAAAACTTTTAGTCGCCCAAAGTATCATTTATTATTAGCTACTAAATATTTAGTCGCCAAAAAAAATTAATTTTCATATTTTTTGTTAGCTACTAAACTATTTAGTCGCCTAAAGTCTCATATATTTTTTACTACTAAATTTTTAGTCGCCAAAAAATCTTTAGTTTGTTTTTGGCTACTAAATTTTTAGTAGCCAACAAGTTTTATTTTGTTTTTTTGGCTACTAAACATTTAGTCACCGAATACTTTATTTAGTGTTATTTTTTTTTATTATTATTAATTTCTGCACAATCTGTATTTATTTCGTGCAACCTGCACCCTGTATATAAACAAAACAATACATAAGTCTATTTCTATTTCACTTTTAACCATCCAAAAATTTGGTCTTGTAACATCAAATTCTATACAAACCAAATATAATCCAACCCCAAAAATAATTCCATACAAACAGATAATCATACAAAAATGATGTCCTTCGTATACAAAAAAGAAATATCCACTAGCAATCTATACCACCAGAAAATAACTTCATCTCTGTTGGATCAACAACTATTGCAGTAATTGGTAGTGGAAAAGCTCGAGTTTGTAAAAATCTTCCAGTAGCAAGGTCCCATACCTACAATATGAAAATAAGTCATTAGATAATTCACCCATCGAAGTCTACAACTTTTCCCAGACCTTAACAAACTTGAAAAATGAGAAAAAGAAAGAAAGGACGTGTGTTAAGTGTAAGACAAACAAATGCACATTATGTATTTAAAATTGCTTTTTTTTTTTGACATTATGTATTTAAACTAGTAATGTATTAATTTTACCACCTTTTTCATCACTCAAAAGAAGTCAGTTTTACAGGTTGGGAGAAATAGTATATAATTATTTTTATTATAGAAAAGAATCAAAGCCATGCCCCAAGAAAGCTTACATGTATTTGAGGAAAGGTAAGAACGACCAACCCATTCATCTGAATAGATCAACTGCCATTCTTAACACTCAAAAAATTCGGACAACTTCAAGGACGTTTAATGATTGATATAAGAATCATCACTCCTCATTACAACTAGTGTCATCAAATAAAGTTGGAGAAAAACCAAAATATTTTAATCACATTTTTTTTTAATGAATTGCATTAGAAGTTAAAATTCAAAGAATCAACAAAAGCTCACCAATAATCAAGAAAAATCATCAAAAGATGTAATTGATGTCGAACAATCTAAGATCATCCATATAAATCATACAGCAGATTGTATATATATTACCAATTTGAATTCACAGAAACCTGAATAAAATTTCCATGGAACATCTAGGCATCCACAAAAGTATAGCCAAATAGAGACGAAATGGATACTGGACACATGAAGTGGGAGAATCAACAAATAATTTTGAAAATATTTGCATCATTTCATAAGATGCGAATCGAAAGACACTACTACATATACAAATATTTTTAAAAACCACAGAAAATAAATTATCAAGCAACACCTTCCTTCGCCATTTCTTCAAGAACATTTTATTTATATATTTTTCTCCATCCCCAAAAGTCTGCCATACAGTAATTAATAGGAAAAATGCAAGAAAGTATTATGAACCAGCTTGACCAACATTTAACTTAGTGCTATTTAACAAAAAATAATAGACTCACAAAAAAGATAGAAACCATCTGATGCTAAGAATTTAAAAGTAAACTGTAAGCAATTATTAGTAAGAGAACCAGATGGCTTTCATACCAACGTTGTTGCATCACTTGAACATTTCAAGAGAGAGTGTGGGGCAATATCCTTCAGTTCATCACGGTACCTAGCTGCATCTTGGAAAAAAGGAAAAGTCAAAAACAAGAAAACAGAACAGTAGAAAGTTAGCAGATACAAGGGCCTCAAATGAACATGCATCAGATTATAAAACATATGCTAAGTACATATTTTCTAGAACTCAAAAAATTGTAATGTAGTTCATGTCCCCAAACTGTTGGCTCCATCCACTACCCACATGGTAATGAGCCCATCATTCACATAGTGTAGGTAGCACCATGTTGTAAAAGAAGGTGGTGGAGGGCTACACCAACTTACTAAAGGAAGATAGTGAGGGTGGCACTACCTTGGCCAATTATGGCTAGCACTTCACCTACTCCTTCTCTCTTGGTTATAAATTGAGATGAGTGAGGAGAGGTTTGTATCATCAGAAATTGGAGAGTGAGAGCTGTGAGTTAAGTGAGTTTCATCTCCTCCTCTGTAATTGTATTTTTGCTCCATTTTAGTGATAATTCTCATTTCTGTCCGTGGATGTAGGCATTGGGCCGAACCACGTAAATATTGTGTTCTCTGTGTGTGTGAGATAATTCTCTGGGTGTCTTTGATCCCAACACAAACAAGGGTTGCAGTTAAGAGTCAACATTTGGTTGCATGCTCAGCCAGATTGAATAAAGATTAAAGAGTGATACTACGAATTAAGAGACAAAAATATTGACATGTTTCAAGAAACCAGCAATTTGTGCAACTTCATTGCTGCAAGAAATGATATTCTAGCAAGATGTATAATTTAAGAAAGAAATTAAGAGACTGAACCTCCAATTTGTGTGCATCATCTCCAAAGAGACTTAATCTCATTGTGTGCATCACTTGAACACATTAATTATCTAAAACTAAACCAAACACTGCAGTAAAAAATTTCTCTAAGTAGACCTTTCCAATCATAATTAGAGCATTAAAAATGAAAGTCCACTATTCAAATGCCACACAATCAAATTGTTAATAAAAGAATGATCTTTGCTGTACTTTGAAGAAAAATGGCATTAAGGAATCATAAGCATACGATACCTCAAACCTCTCATCAGCAATGGCCTCATTCATCAACCTGCGCATGCGTAAAATCGGCTCCTCTTCCTCAAATAATCTCAATGAATCACGAAGTCTAAATTCCTAATAAAGTTTAATAGAGCAAAGATATCCAATATGCAGAATGCCCAAAATAAAGTTTATTAAATCGGCTCCTCTTCCCCAAATAAAGTTTAAATTCCTAACAAAGATATCCAATATGCAGAATGCCCAAAATTGACTTTTTTTCATATGATTAAACTAACCAACTGTAGACACCCCATTTTTGACCGACCTTGAGACTCAGACGTCACCAGTTGAGCGCTCGGTGATACTGCATGTCGTGCTCGTTCAGAAGTTTCAGAGTCTCAGTTGCAAGCCTTGCCTCCGGACTTCCGGACTCTTTTGTGCTTTGCCTCGGTTTGCGAACCAGGCTCGATTTTCTCTGTTTTCTCTTTGCGAAGGGAGGGAGAGGTCTGGTAGATCATCTCTCAGTGACCGTAGGCTACGTTTTGTGGTCGTAGGCCACTTTGCCCGTTTGGAGTCCGGTTTCCGGTTTTTCGGAGCCGTTGGCCGTGTGCCTTGGTTCGGGACTGCTTAACCACCTCCATTTGCTTCGGTTTTTGGCATACTTCTTATTTGCTCCCTTTTGAGGAACACTATGGCCCGGGAAACCGACTTCGTGGTCAAACATCACTCCCGGTGCCTAACAGCCAGTTTTCGGGGCCTCGAACTACGTGTTTCGGCCCCCGAACCTTCGTTCTGCATTGGTTTTGGTTCATTTTTGGCAGGGACCTCTGTTTCATTGGTAAGAAGGCCGTAGGAGGATGGGAGGCCAGTAATTGTTCTGTTAGCCGACTTTATCCCTTCATCGCCCTCCGTCGCCCGATTTTCCTCACTTCAGAGCCAATGTTGACCACCCTTGGACCATCTTCTTGAACTTTTAACCACATATTTGTGATGTACACACCTGGGAGGCCACCAATATTTGGTGGCCGGCCAGTAATTGCTGTTGACCCTTTTGAACCCCTTTGAAAAATGGGTTGTTCTCTCTCCTGGTTCACTTTTTCCAGTGTTCAACCACAGGGTTGTGTTGTGCACACATGGGAGGCCCTCTTTTTGTGGTGGCCGGCCATTAATCACACTTGACCCTTTTGACCCTAGCCGGCCGGCCATGGGAAGTAGCCGGCCGGCCACCTGCAACCAAGATAACTGGCCGGCCATGTTCCTTGCATCAGCTACAGTACAGAAGTGCATTCATTTTCCCCCCAGATTCTGTATCCGGGGGGCTGCATTTTGGAGGGAAACTTGACATGTTTTCCCTCCATTTTTTCCCCCCATTTTCCCCCTCTTTTTGCCTATATATCAGAGGCTCCAGCTCTGATATTAGGGTTACAAAATTTCCCTCTAAGGCCCTTGCATTATATCTCTCTCGCTCTATATTTTCCAAGCTAAAACACCCTTAGCCCTACACCATCTCTTCACCAACCCATAGCCCTACCCTTCCATCCTCCATTCCAGCAGTTTGAGGGTGTTCTCCAGAGCTTAGGAGTGTTGCATTTTGGTTCAAGAAGCTACCAAAGTTTGGTCTTCAAGGGTGAGTACCATTCCCACTCTTTTGAGCTTATTCTTGTATCATTTCTTAGCCATACATGCTTACTGTTTTGAGCTCCGGCCCTAACTTAAAGTGGCATTTTTTTGAGCTCCTTTTCACTTTTGTTTAAGGGCCTCTCACTGTTTGAGGCCTCCTTGTTGCACTTGCTTCATTATCCCTCTTGTATGCCATTATCTTGTGTAGTATTTTTGGCTTATGTATAATCTGTTTTGAGGAATGTCATAAACTGAAAAGTTGCTT